CACGCTTAAACTAAATTGTGAGATCGAGAGACTTTCAAACTCTTTTCTTTACTCCAGGAAAGCAGACAAATTTCTGTAAGCTAATCACGTTTAAACTGAATCGTGAGATCGAGAGAGATTCGAATTATTTTCTTCACCATTCAACAATTTTATAACAAGGAGAATCTAAGGATGAGACAATTGGTCACACCGACTTGGCAGGCTCATTCACATCTGCATAACTAATTCAATCAGTTAAACAGCTGTAGGAGGGCATAGCATTGCATGATTCACTATTTCCCTTTATGGCTCATCAGTTCATGAGCAGATTTGAAGTAGAAGTAAGAGAGGAATCAAACCGCTTTCCATGAACTTGTATCAGAAATTTATATGGTACCTATGATACCTTGAACAGAAAAATGTAGGACTTTGTGACGACTCAACAGTCGGTTTACAATGTTATTATGGTATATTGGAAATATAAAACAATTTGGAGATACCATTCTAGATATCTTACTTATGAAAAATGCCCAAAGTTTACAATTTTAATACTTGATATTCCAATATAAAAGTACTTTCAGATACATTCTTGACAGGTAGTTAGGTAGGTAGGTCTAAAGTGAGTGGGTCTATTCGACCCTCCACCGCAACCCATAAGGGTTTATTGTGGCTCACACCTATTCACACTCGGCCAAATAAACCCAGCTTCTCAACGAAGCCGATTAGTTTGTATGGTGAGTGGTCTTTCATGTCATCCATATTGGTTTGCATAATTTTAATTTTATTTAATTATCATGACCTCCTGCTCCTTTCAAGCAGTTAGAATTTATGTACTATTATATTTAGAAGCTTTGTCAATCAGAATTCTATTCTTCAGATAATAAAGCATGCTTTGATTTGATAGTAAGAGTACGGATCTGCCGAACTCTAAGAACCTGATTCGGTCCCCAGCGGGGCATGCACAAAGTATATGCTCTGCTGATTCATCATTTTCCAGACAGAAGTGACACACACTGTCTTCCAACAGTCCGAGTCTCTGCATATGATGATTCCAATGACAGTGACCTGTAAGAAGGCCTGTTAGACATCGTAGTTCATCCCTACTGTAGTTCAACAACTGTTTGGTATCAAGCTTCGAAGGGTGAATAAATGCCTTGGAGTGAGCCAATCTTGGAAGATTCTGCCAGAATATATTCTCAACAACTCCCACTGACAAAAAATGACATGACACTTTTTGTCCAAAGGCTTGTTATGTTCCCCTCAGGTACATGAGGATATTTACGAAGCATTGTATCTTTTTCTTCAGGGATGTACCTGAAAACAATAGGTATCCTCCACAGGTAGTAAATAACTCAATTAGGAAATGTTAATTAAGAGAGTTTCTTTATGAATCCTTGACTTTCAAAAAGACGAGCCAAAATTCATTGTTGTTCCATATGAAGTAAGATACATTAATGGAATTGATTGAATTTCAAAAAATTGAAGTCGTCTGTTGGTTCAAATGAATGAGTGTCAGAAAACCCTGAAGACATGATGATAGAAATTGAAAAGTTTATGATTCATGAGATAATCTGCGAGGACTGCCACAAAAAGTACAGCAAAGCTATTAAAACTCGTTTCATTGAACATATGAAGTTGGGAAGATAGAAAAGCCTAGTGTCACATACCTTAAAGAATGGCCATAAATAATAACAATTTATTTGCACCTGTCGGATATAATCCAACGCCCTTCGTGGTATTAGCCAGGGGAGTAGTTGTTTTCTGATAGGTGTCAGTCCATTAACCTACTGTGTAGGGTGTTGAGACTGGCCTGAACGAATTGTTCCTCTAGATGATTTAATTTATTTGCACATTTTACATGAAATGATGAGAACCATTCGGAAAACAATACTTGTCAGGTTGCTTTCTAATTCATAGTATTGAGTAAATATTCTTCAAAAGAGCATTTCAAGTTCAATAAGTGATTTCAATAAATTTTTTTTGGCTATAATTTCATATATGATTCCTGTTGAATGTATGAGTAATTTAGTGCGTGTCAAAATTTGACACATTCAGCAATATACATATAGAACAGGTATATTGAGGAATTTCAGTGACTTGTCGTGACACTAAGATTCATTGTGAGGATCAGTTTTTTGGCAAGATAATACACATGATAGAAAAATTTTCATGTTTGATCGATTATAACCCTCAGGCATTTATCGTTATCGAAGAAATTTAAAGTTGGTTGATTGAGTTTGATGTAATTTGGAGTAATATGACATTGGTTGCTAATGTCAGCATTCAATATAAGCCTTGAATATTTAAACCAATGTTCCGCTTTTTCAAATAAGGGGATTCCTAGATGTGTCAGTTCTGGAAAGGTCGAAGCCATGAATAATAAAGTGCTCTCATTGGTTTCATCATATGAAGGTCATTTATATAAATTATAATCAATCAATTATGCTCACATAGTAAGTCTAATAATTTTTATGATAGAAAACATTCAACCCAAAATCAAAACACATACCATTTCCTGCAATGACCTGCAAATTTGGATAAGTGCTCTTGATGAATTTTATCATTTCTATTTGGTAAATTGAATTTCCCTGGGAAGAATCCAGAATAACCACATCTACTCCTGCTTGAACTAGTAGTGCTAATCTGGCCTTGTCTTCTTCCCTTGTTCCCAAAGCTGCTCCAACAATCAGTTGTTTATTTTCATCTTTTGAAGCAATCGGATAACTTTTAGCTTTTTTAAGGTCAGTTCTTGCCATTAGAGCAATGAGGTTTCCATTTGTATTGACGATAGGTAGTTTGCCTTTCTTGCTTTTTTCTAAAATGTGGTTGGCTTCACTAAGTGTCACACCTGATTGAGCTGTAACCAAATCCTCAAGCTTGGTCATTATCTGTTCTAATCTTATATTTTCGTAGTTTGGTTCGTCCAAAAAGTCAATATCTCTCGAAGTCACAATACCGACCAACTTGCCTCCTAATCTACCATTTTCTGTTATGGGAATACCACAAAATCCGTGCTCTTTCTTTACATTAAGTACATCGGACACAGTATTGGAGGTAGGTTTCCATTTGTATTGACGATAGGTAGTTTGCCTTTCTTGCTTTTTTCTAAAATGTGGTTGGCTTCACTAAGTGTCACACCTGATTGAGCTGTAACTAAATCCTCAAGCTTGGTCATTATCTGTTCTAATCTTATATTTTCGTAGTTTGGTTCATCCAAAAAGTCAATATCTCTCGAAGTCACAATACCGACCAACTTTCCTCCTAATCTACCATTTTCTGTTATGGGAATACCACAAAATCCGTGCTCTTTCTTTACATTAAGTACATCGGACACAGTATTGGAGGTACATAAAACTACAGGATCATGTATAAAACCATGTTTATATTTTTTTACTTTCAACACTTCATTTGCTTGATAACTTGGCAAACAATTATGGTGAATAATTCCAATACCTCCGCAAAGCTGCATAACAATAAAAAAAAATTAAAACAATTTTTACTATGTTATTGAATTGGTCAATACTTGATGAAAATCCATATCGTATTCAACACTTTGTGACAGTTCCACTGAACAGTTTACAAAACCGCAACATGTGTTTCGCTATACAATAGCTTCCTCAGATGTGTTCAGACTAACTGAATTCTACCTAAACCTAATTAGTGCTCTATACAATGTAACAATTTGAATTTCATCTACTTGACGACTAATAATTTTACCTGTGTTTAGGTATAAACTTCACATTTACCAAACGGGAAGAGTCTTTTCTCATACAATAAAGGAGCACGGGAGTAGTTTTTCGAATGTGTAGACTGATTCCACATCTGCAAACACTCTTTTGACACATGACTATGAGATAATAATAATAATTGGTTTTATTGATAAGTTCATACATGGGTAACCAGTATGTATATAGCTCTTATCAAATAGCAGGATTAATTTTTCGTACGTGTTCAAAACACGGGCAAAACTTGCTATTCCATCCAACCTTATTCCTATTTACAAATTCAAAAATAATAATTATGCATAAATACAAATGAAGACTATAATTATTGGGTGAGAATACATATATAATAACAATTTATGACTGCATGGTATATAAGATATGATATATTAAAATGCCTACTTGACGGGTCTCAAGATATAGTAAAATTACCCAGTGAAATATGTCTCTTAAGTTTCTTTTTCAGGGCACCAGAAGAAATATGCATTCGGTGACCGGTTGTATAATCATCAGTCATTAAGTAGAAAGTCATATAATTTAAATTGTAATATAAAGCACTAATTAGGTAGAGTTTAGTCAGCATGAACACGCCTGAAGATGCTATTGTAAAGTGAAACACTTGTTGCGGTTTTGTGAATTACTCAGTGAAAATCTCACAATAAATTGGTACTCAAATACAATTTTTATTTTATATTCCAATACTTACAGCCATTGCAATTGCCATATCCGCTTCCGTTACAGTATCCATTGGAGACGATACGAGTGGAGCCTTGAGAGTTATTTTTTTGGTCAATTGACTAGATAAATTCTGAAAAGATGGGTTTAAGTCATTTTCACAGTTTTATACATTTAATGAACACTTACAACTTCCTCGGCAGGAAAATCAATGTAACCAGGTAGAATTATGAAGTCGCTAAAAAACGTATAAAGTTTATTTAAATTACTGAGGGTATATTCATGCAACAGTCCCAAGTAAGTTACAATTAGTATTGAGTGGTAAGCAGTTGGAATAATGAATTTTCAGTGGCAACATTCATACACAAGCATAGATATTATATATACCAATAATATCTTTGTGCACGAATAATAAGTTTTCAGTAGTAACAAATGCAAATCATTTCAACTCAAAACATGTGACTAAAGACTGACACATGAGTTCATCTGACACAAGGGTGGACGAAAATTTTGTAACTTTTAGGAGTTTATTATCCACGTTCTGTCTCATTATCCACGTTCTGACAGTTATATTGGTTGTTTCAAGGGTTTTGTCCGTTTTAATGTGATGTGTTATCGTAGCTCCATATCTCAATAAATAATTATTCTACATCTTGGTATGTACTGATCGATAGGGAATGAATTTGTACTCTATTATTACAGTTTAGTTGAGGGTGATTTATTGGGGTAATTGAAAGATTTCGAGGGGGTTCCCATTCTGATTTTTTTCTAAATTTTAATGTTTTGCCTGTTTTCAACTTATAACTATATGATGTCATTGAGCGATTTTTGGACAATTTTTCTTTACTAATTCAAATTGAACCAAAGCGCTGCCGAAACAGCCCGAAAAATTAACCAGGTATTTGGTAATGATAAGTGTTAATGAATGCACTATTCGTCTTTGGTTTGCGAAATCTTGTTGAAAAGATTTTAGCCTCGAAGACGAGTCCTGAACAAGGTCGACAAACAGTAATCCAGGACGAGCATTTTAGAACCCTGGTGGAGACTGACCCACCACAAACGGAGAGTGAGCTTTATATCTTCTATTAATTACCTGTCGTTTGCCTCTTTATACGGTCAGAGCGTCTCAACTCAGGTATTTCAAATACTTTAGGTAAATTTGCCTGTATTTGTATTGCATCAGGTACTCTTCTTTGTGTTAGATCTTCTCTAGGAATGTGTATGGTTTTGTTTAATATATTGAATGTGAGGTCTTGTTGTATTTTGATTTGTACTTGTTCCTCGATAAGTGATTTATGACTGTTAAAATTTATGGATGTTCAAGTTTTCTCAAATGTCCATGCGGTTTCCCTTGTTGACTTGTTTTATGAGTTTAACATAAAACTCATAAAACAGAATGACAAGTTCAGTTTGAGGAGTGCCTAGAAGATGACAGTACTACCAACTGTCGAAAGCGTTGATGTTTTTTTTTTGGTTTACAGCTACCCCAGACCATCAAGCCATAATTTGGTGTTGATCTCAAGTGATACAGTATTTTTCAATTGCCACTTTTATTCATAAGATTTATCAATGTAATTTAATCACACAATGTAACTTCCAAAAACGATTAACATCAATTTTACCCATGATGATAATTAAACAATTTTCTCAAACATTTCTTATTTCTAGATCCTTTTCGCTAACACCGTATCTTTCTTGATAGGAATTGATATGACACACTGGGATACAGTTTTCATTTTCAACAGTAGTAAGTACCTAATTAATTGGTAAATAGGTAGAATTTGAAAAACATTCACAATCTCAGTTCTTAGATAGCAGGTAAATTTTCGAATACGAATAAACTTATTTGCATTATGAAAAAAAGTTAACGATGCTGACTGGTCAACCTCCTGTTGGTCTTTTCGACAGGGAACCCGAACATTCACCCTTATTGATTGTTGAACCTGTCGGAGTCTCTGGAAATCAATAAGGGTAAACGTTCGGGTTTCCTGTTGAATGACCAACAGGAAGTTGACCACACACCATTATTAAACCTTTTTTTCATAATGCCAATAGGTTCATTTATATTAAAAAATTCACCTGCTGTCCAAGGACTGAAATTGTAATTGGTTTATAAATTTTATCTGTTAACGCTTTTACTATTATACAAATAAGTTAGGTACCTACTACTGTTGTGTATAAGAACTGTAGCCCAGTACTGAAGAATTTCAAAGTTAAGATGCCCTCAGTATATAAAAAAAAATAAATAAAAAGTATTTACTTGTATGTCAAACCATTTCCTTTATTTATCATTTGTTTTGCACTCATTCCATCTTCTAGGTCAATATCCATATTATTTTGAGAATTGCCAGCCATCTGAAAAGTAAAATAAAGTATTACTCTATGAGATATATCATTCACTTTCAGTTCCAAGCTGAATACATTGAGTTTAATGTCAGTAGTCTTTAACCTAATTTAATTATGTGCGTTGATAGGTCTTCTCATGCAGTTGAATGTAAAATCTCTTATAAACTCACGTTTGATATGAATTCTCTTAGAGAATGCAGCAAAAACTTTTTTCACACGTGGTCGAAAGGTAGGTTAGTTTCCAAGTTTTTTTTTCAGAAAATCGATACAAATTAAAGTTTTGGATGAAAAAAGAGTACAATTCAATATTTGTATTCCGGGATTGATTTTGAATGTAGGTGTAAGTGTTTATTTACATCCAATCACAAAATTTCAAATTAATGATCAGTTACTGCCACCACAGCACAGAATATAGGAACTACAATAACGTGAACGATAAAAGACCTATAGCAATAGCTATACTGTGCTGCCGCATTTATAACCTTCATCAGGGTTCATTCAGGAATATGTCCTGCACAAAAACAGAGTACACTAATCTTAAGATATGTTCCATGTGTTTTGGTGTTTAAAATGAAACACGGTTTACTGAAAACTGATGAACTAAGTAACTTTTTCAAGAAACACTTTGTGAGATTTTCACAAAACAGTTTTACAAAAACACAACACGTGTTTCGCTATACAATAGCTTCTTCAGGCGTGGAGTAATGACACGCCGTAAGAAGCTATTGTATAGCGAAACACTTGTTGCGTTTTTGTGAAACTGTTTAGTGAAAATCTCACAGTCTTTCTTGAATACGTTATGGATTTTCATTAAGTGTTGGCCGATTCCCTCACATAAAATATTAACCGATGATTTTGTTGTGGTGAGAGTGACAATTAGCAGATGACTAATTTGGAATATTCAAACAGGTGATTGTCAAGAAATACCTCGGTCACTTTTATGTTGTTTTAAGAAAGACACAAAACTTTCTGCAACAAATAGTATTTGTAATTGGAGTTTAAAAATTATGTTATATTTTACATACTTAGATTAGTATCATATTGGAATCATATGATTTTCGTAACATTTATTATAATTTTCTGAAAAAAATACATTTAGAAAAATAAAGTTTTTTTTGACTCAGGTATACTTTTTGACACTGAACGGTACCGGTTAATCAACTAGTGTTTCATTTGGATGATGAAAACAATGAACTACCTAGACTGAAATAGGTTTATTTCGACGATTATCAAGAAAGCAGGTCCGTCGCCATGGGGCCTACCCATGTTGTGACCCAACTCTGTACACATGTTGGTAGATGGAGCAAGAATCGAAATCTGTTGCTCGTATTTTATTCAGATTTCCAATTTATGAACCATAATGTACGAAATCTTTCACTTAATATCAATGTATTCCCAAATGTAAGTAACATTGCACCTCTGTGAATGGAAGACTGAAACTTATAGGACCTCTTTATTATTTCAATGTGGCACCATTGTCTAAGGATCCTTAGACAATGGTGCCACAGTCTATATACAAAGGTGCCACCATTATACAAAGGTGCCACAGGTCGAGATATTTCATCATTTTGACAAAATATTTTACATGTAAAAGTGGTCCAAGTGATCACACCAGGGATACTTTATGCATCCTGATGTGTTCAATCCAAGAAAGCTTCTTTAAGGCAGACTCAAGAAATTTACCACATGTGGATTCATTCATGGTTATGGAATATTTCAAAGAGAATAAAGACTTCGTGACGAAATGAGAGGGGAGTCAAAGTTAAAAGATGAGTTTGACGATAAATTATAAATATAAATATTGAGTAATGAATATTACGATTCATTGATACAAAATGTACAAAAATCTGAAATTTGACTCTCCTTGATTATACAAAGCATTTGCAACCTTGATTGAAAACACTATTCTCATGCCAGAAAAAAATACTGTCTATCGAGATACGTCTCACTAACGAACTTAGCATCATAAGGAGATGACTAGGGTCTTTAGCGTGGGAAAAGTATTTTCGATATACAAAACGTTCTTTGAATTAATGGCCTAGGTTTGGCATTTTGTAAATGTTTCTGAAAATGAAAAATGCGAATAGCACCTTACGTGGTTTTCGTATCAAGACGCATTTTTCCATAACTTTCAGGTATACAAAATTCTCAATATCTGCTGATGATTGAAATAAAATGATATTCCAATTGAATACATAGGTACGTTTTATTGTTATTATTATTATTTTTCGTCTGAAAGTTGTGGTGGTCGGGCCCTATCCCAAGAGCGCCAATACAGTCAGGAGGACTTCCCACACCGTTGGGTAAGTGATCATTGGTTCCGAGAATCATGTGTCCTGAGATAAGAATGACAGTCTTCTGCATTTGTCCATCAAATATTTTTGCTTTCGTGCAGCAAACAGGCATTATCTTAAAGTTCGAGATGACATAATTCCACCAACTATTCAAATAATTTCGCTGATCTGACAAGTTTAATTTAAATATTATGAAAAATTTGTTTTTTTTTATACATAGGTTCTTATTATCGTTACCAGAATGTTATCGCCAATTCATCCAGGTTTGGAGACCAGCTCCCCTACCCTTTTGGCTGATTGTTGGTCTTGAGAAGAACCAATGGGTTCATGACTGAATAGGTGACGGCATGAAGTCCTTAGACATCAGTACCGCCCTTCACGGGATACCCCTACCTGGCTGGGGTGGGATGGATGAAAAAGTTATTCATCCGTTAACGGGGGACATGAGGGCCTCATTCGACAGAGTGTCGGGGCCTTCTATATCGGGAGGGGTCGTCTACAGCATACTCTGTGGCTTCCCTAACTAACGGGTTATTATCGTTATTATGCTTGGCTGGAATTTCAAGTCTATTTGTGAAGTGTTATTATATGCATGTATCCAGCCCCATCGGTGAATAGTATCTGAACTGTTAGGTTGATATGACCTCCAGCCACTGATGATAAAATTATATACACTATAGTCTGACAATTTCCAATGAACCTTTTTCCTGAAGTACGAAAAATCACTCACTAGCAGCGCTAGTAGTTCGGTAGGGACAAACACTGCCTTATCCTCATATAAATATATGGTAAAGTACAATTAAAAAAGAATGTTTTTAACAGAAGAAAATGTTCCTGGAGCAAAACTAAAATTTGCAACTGTAAAGGATTTTAAATCCACTCTCCTCGAAGCATATATCCATTTCTTACATCTAACCTCATTAATATGAGGTTTTATAAATGGTATAAAAACACGTTTTTTTCCGGATATCGATTATCCGACGTACAATTAGCAAAACAGCAATGCTTTGTTGGCATTATACCAACACAAAATAATTTTTTATATCAGATTTATATTTTCAAATAATAAATTAATATTACGTAAATAACACTGTTTTACATGTGAATAGTTTATGTTTGTCCTTACAACTAGTGCTGCCTCTCGTGACCCGTTCGCTGTACTGTTCTCAGGAAAAAGGCTCATTGAAGGTAATTCATTAGCAACGTCGCACCTGAAGTGACCAACGGATAATCCTCTTACCAACTATGCAGAGGCGTACCAAAATATTATTTTCATTTATTTAAATACATAGGTAATTAAGTAAAATTTGTTATAGTAGGTGGCGCTACCTGGTGTCAATGGTAAAACTGATTACATTTTCTCATTTTGCCTAATACAGTACTTCAAAAAAACAGGAAAAATTACAAAATAATTATTATGTTCCTTTTATATAGAAAGAGAACTACAAAGCAAAGAAATAATTACCTATGTTATGCTTATGAAGTTTGAGATTCCATTGACTCGTCCGAAGAGGAATCCCCAGTCACACTTGAATCTATTGTTATTTGGTCGAAAACAATGTCTACCATCCCGTCCAATCTCCACATTTTCTCTTCTTCCTTGATCACATGGACTACAGTATTAGCCCAATCTTCTTTCTGTATCCGTTCCATTGCGAGCTCTAATAAACGTGGGACATCAGAAATTTTATATGTCACGTTTTCACGAGCTATGTAACCCTTAATTTGAGCCCAAATTAATTCTATCGGGTTTAATTCGCAATGGTAAGGAGGAAGTCTCAAAATGGTTGTGCCTTCAGCATGAGCTATTGTATTCACCACATACTGGCGATATCTGTCACGATGCTGTTTAATGACACTCATAAGCTTGGCCTTAACCATGTCCTCGGAAAATGGAATTCCTTTTTGTCCTAACCAACTCTGCATGTCTGCTTTTATGGTGGTCATAGATGGCAGCTGTTCTACTAATCGGCTGTGATAAGAAGCGTTATCCATTACTATTACCGAATTTGGCTCGAATTGTGAAAGAAGAGATTCAAATCATCCTTCAAAGCGTTGGGCATCCATGTCTTCCTGATAATCCCTCGTTTTTTTGATAAAAAAATTTGTGCACTATCGTCTAAAAAGCCACTCTCGCTACCTATATGGGCGACAATTATAGTCAACACTATTCAGGAAAGGAGCTGCGATACTTTTTACTCATTATTGTTACTGATATTGCAGATATACAAAATTTTATTATTCAGTAACAAAGAGTATATGTCTCTGTAATTAAAATAAAAAGTCCAAGAAGTGTAGTAATGTTTATTGATTTCAAATTCAATCGAGGCATCTACAAAATGTTTATTTTTAAAAGATCTAAAACAAATAAATACACAAAATAAAATTATCACATGCTGGACAACATCAAACGAAAATATACAGATAAAATTAGAATTATTTTAACACTATAAAAATCAAACTAAACTTCACTTCCAAAGCCTCTGGAATAATGAAATCAATCTCCAAAAAAAACCATTGTGAGTTGATCAGCAGATCAGAATTGCATCGCATCTAAAGAGAACAACTAACTTGATCGTCATTCTCTGACAATTATGTGCAATAACTTTGTCAGAAAACGGTTAGCAAATACTAGCTTCAAAAAGGATTTAACATAACAATAATTCTTAGGTTAATATTAGGGTCCGAAATTATATGTAACAATAATAACGCATAACCAACATTACGCTTATGTTACCCACAACCGTGGACACTTTCAAAGTATTTCATATACGTCTTAAAATACCTACATGAAATATTGGAATAGAAATACAACTAATACCACTTCTGAAGGATTTTCAAGGTATTTATCATCGATTCAACAATTTACATTCCTTGATAAGTAAAATTTGGAACCTTCTTTTTAAATTATGAAATCCTAAATACCCAGAAATACTTCATGAGCAGCGTATTCGAACCCTAAAAGTGTATACATTAATACACAACTTACAATTTTGTAAATCAATTCTGAACTACTGTCTCCCAAATTCATTTTCTGCCCACGAAAATGAAAATGGGCAGCACCGACTTGAAACGCATGGTGCTCAAGCAATAACCAGAATTATACATAGATACATGAAATCATTTCATATAACGTCATATGTTAATGAAATCACATGAAACAAGAAAAACAATAATTCGTAGTTATTTTGAATGTAAATAATGCAAATTGTTACATGGCCACACGGAACTCATGTACATTTGCACTGTACCAATGACTGAAACTAAGCATGTCCCAAGGGGATGTGATCCTAGGGTCCTAGATTAAGGGGCCATTGGTACAGCATTCACAGAGTTCCTAATTCTTCTTCACACCATTCTGGTTGACTGGTCCCTTGCCAGATACTACTGAGGTGCTGGTGAAAAAATTCAATCTCAGTTAAAAACGGTAAAAATTCCATAAAAATAAATTTTATGAACTATTTTTCTCAAATCAGAACTCAAATTTCTTTCAGTTCTTTCTCCTATAAATTCAATTTTCCATATCTCAAGAATATATTATTTTAATATACATTACCTGTCAACAGCAGTAGCAGGAGCCAAGCCATCCTTTGGTGCTATATCAAGACCCAACTCAGATAGAACCTTGAGCGCTTCTAGCGCAGCCTTTTCATGAGAAGCTTCAGTTGTTGGACCTTCGCCATGGCACACCTGAGGTGGTATAGTACTTAGTGATACTAAAGTCAGATACTGTTCATGATTGGCCTTGGGAAAATCTGAAAACTGTATCTGAATATTCAGCAGCTGAGCCAGGTACATTAATTGATCTTTTGAACGAACGCCCTGTAGAACAATACACATAAGCAATGATTGAATTTTGATTGTAGGTGTTTTCGTAGCTGCATTCCAGTTGACGCCCGATCTAGCGTCAGGGCATTCAATACATTGGCTGGGCTTTTATACGGTTTTTATCATGACTCTCAATGTTCTGGGCTCAACTCGAAAGCAACTGCTAAAGCAATATACATATCAACTCTAAAGCAATATACATATATAACTCATATTGGGACAATGGTACCACATGCAACGCTTCCCTTCTATATTCATTCTCAATATTGCAGAAAAGGGCTGTGAGGTGGTAAAGTTAAGTCTAAAGAATCCTGCATGCATTTTTTCACAGCCTTGTCATTGCACTGTTTACTCTTGGGATGGTTTGCTTTGTATACAAGCATCAATCGAATCCCAACTTTGTTTTCGATCATTTTGCTACCAACAGCAATTATAATTTTAGACTCCCCACTGTACCACTATAATGGTGGCCGATTGTTCAATCACTTGCCATTAAAGGTAAGGTCTGCAAGCCTTAACAACAATGTGAGAAAACAAATTGTCATCATGTCTTATTTATTTATTCTTTTCATTCTTTGTTGGATTCCTGTATTCAGCATTGCAATTGCATTAGCTGACTTTATTGAGAAAGGGTTTGGTATAAACAAAAATTTTGGCATCCTTTACCCCTTGATAAAATGTTCTATGACTATTTAGAGTATGAGCTTCAAGAAGTGTTTTCTGTATGAATATCAGATTTCGAAATCAGTTAGTCTAGGTTCCCAGATCACTTTCCAACTCATCTGGACGACCTTACTGGCACTGAATAAGAGCACATACTATGAAATTGGTAGATATGACATGTTTTTTGGTTTGGGTTTCATCTAGCAAAAGTATCATTATGCCCGCTATATTTTCTGCTTTTTGTGATAATATCAGATTGTGTTCAGCATTATATTACCAGTTGCTCTGATCAACATGAAAATCTTACCTGAATAGAAGGTGGTGGCTTGATTTGTGTTTGAGGAGGCAGCATAGGTTTGTCCATAGTATCCTTCTGCTTCTGAAAGCCTGACTGCTCGGTTACCAAAAGAACGCCAGGAACCAACTGGCGTCCACCACTTCCACCAACAGATGGCGTGGGTTGTTGCTCTTGAACTTCCTCAACGAATGTCACCTTACGATTCTTCTCCGCCATAGCCTGTGCTACCGCTGCAGATGCATCAGACTCTTTTTCTGTTTTAATGGGTTTGGTATTGTTCAATGATGTGGTATTGCTATAGCCCAATTCAGCGAGAAGAGATTCAGCAGCATTACGTTTAGCAACCTGTAATATTTGTAATTTTAAGATATCATTCTAGATTTGTAGACAATTTTTAACAAAACGTTTGAAGAAGAGATAGGAGAGAGTGGTATTCTTCAAAATATATTCCTGAATGCAATGAGCTAAAATATACAGTTGAACATTGAAAAACCTACAAGTTACAAAAACATCCGCACAAAGGAATTGTCACCCCTTTTTTTGATTCATGATTGTTTCTTTCACGATTAAAAAAAAGTAACAAACTGCTAACGGCAGCCAAAGTGCCTGAGCAATAGTCATGACTTTTTCATCATAGAATTTTTTTTCATTGAGAAGCCAATTGAAAAAAAAGATCTTGTTAAAAATCAAGGAATAAAAAGATGGATGGTCATAAAGTTATTTAATATTTCTACAGAACAAGTTCTTAAAAATGTGATTGCCGTTATTGTTTGTAATAAAAATAATTGTGAAAGAATATAAACTTTTCCAGTGGGAGATGACAGCTCCCACCGTGATAGCTATTTTGTAGGTTTGATGACCGTAATCTGCAGGTTTTTATGAGAGCTTGGCTTCCATGCATTCAGTTATCTATGAAAGCAAGAGAATGGACAGTGGAATTGAATAGTCATTCATTAATCTAATGAATAATACAAAATTGTCTAGTTTTGCTAACCTTTTTATTTGGACCAACCCCAGTGCAGGAATGCCCATTCACAGATGCCTCAATAACAAATTCTCTGCGCCTAGGGGCTCCACGTTCCTCCAAAACAGTATAAATTGGTTCTCTTTCCTTGTTAGCTTGCTGAATTTGAATTAAGCGTGATATGGGATTAATTTCTTCAGCAACTTCGGCTGTTTTGTCCATATTGACTTTGATCAAGTTGCGGGTTTTCTTCTTATTGGTGACTCGTTTCCTCTTCAGTTGGGCAATGTTGATTACGTTAGGCAGAGGTGGGAGTTTGGAGAGCTCTTCCAACATTTTTTCGGCGGCACGTTTCTTTGAAATTTTTTTTCCGTTACCCTCCCCATCAGCTAAGAAGTTTCCTACACGGCATTGGGTGACAAATACTTTCATGTGTGGAGGGCCCTTAGAGGAAGGAAATACATTTAAAGAAACTCAAGTCGATGATACATGCCTGAAAATTTTTTGACACTCAAAAAAAAATTACCTTTTCGCTCAAAACTTCGAAAATAACGTTGAGGTTTCTTTTGAGAGCTATTTCATATACGAGTGAAATAGGTGATTTCAGATCAGAGTTAACATCGTAATTTTAATTTTCAAATTCTACTTCCATAATTTAATTGTCAAATATGTATCTCCATATGTAAGAGTTTATAAACTTCAAAACACACACCATTAACTAATTCATGGTATTAGCCAGGAGAGTAGTTGTTTTCTGATAGGTGTCAGGCCGTTAATCTATAATGTAGGTGAGTTGAGACTGGCTTGAACGAATTGTACTTTTAGATAATTTGACTTACAGCCAGTCGTAAAGTGTGCCTCCTTACTATATGTGAAATATCTATAAGTTGTGTGTTCCTAAAGATGAATAAATAATATTATTATTGAAAAAGGAATACATATCGGAGTCATCAAGACCTACTAATGATCTATGTGAGTAATGACCCAAATCTTGAGGAAAAGTGATTTCAAGTAAGCTCAGTAGTATATTTGGAAAGACTGTCATTTGGAATATTATTATTTAGAGTATTTAGGTTAGCTCACCTAGCTGCTTAATATGCTCGATAGCCTTTGAAGCAGCATCATGTCGGGCAGCTTGCACAGTGAATCCTTGTCCAGGATATTCCCTTTCTCCAACTCTCAACCGCACACTATACGGATCTCCTGGATTAGGCGGAGCTCCTGGCCGAAACTGTCCATAGTAGCGATTTTCATGGTAAGGATAGTGTCCCCTTATATTATTGCGACGGGCATCATAGCTGTATCTTTGAGGTTGAGTCTGAGCATTATACAGGTTATGACGAGGATAATAATTGGGCTGAGATAGATAGCCCTAAAATATTGAACAGTCATTTGTAGTAATTGATATTAATATAAGGTTTCATTAATAATATATCCATCCTATTTGATAGTTTTTGATTCAAGTTCAAGTTCTAGTAAAAATTTAAAACTGCAGTAAATAAGACATTGTTCATTGTTTGTTTGCTTTCGAGAACAATATAACATTCTTAATGGTTCAGTCCACCTTTGTTAATGTTTGTCGTTTATATTAGAAATTGAATAATGTCCATCTGATATCTGATATTTTGTTTTGCAAACTTCGTATTTTTTCATATTTGCATTTGCATCAACAAACACAAAATTTCAAAGTGAAAACTGAACTACAAACCAACAATAACTACTGCCATTGAGGCAATTTTATCAAGATTCCCTGTGAAATTCATTATTTTCTGTGTTTGTGTATAATGTTATAGTGCAGAAAGATACAACTTCTTTCGAAGTATTAGTGGACCATCCAGAAACGATCCTGTGTAGACGATCTTCCTGGATCATTAGTGAAAATGAGAAAATTCTACCCTTCTATTACAATTAACCAATCAATCAATAACTCGAGTTATTCAACATAAAACGTTAATATAGTTTCTTTTCATAGTTTCATCTTCATTATTTATAAGTAATTGATTATGTGATTATGAACATCATTTTGTCTATAATGTTCTAATATCCGTTAGTGATAAAGATATAGATAAAGCTATTAAAAAAATGAATAAAGCATTTATTAATATTGCTACATATTTAGAAACCGATAAGTTGAAGCAACAAAACAAAGGCCATGATACTTACTATGTCGTTTAAGTACAGATAATTAGATTTAAATCACATGACGAAATTGAGCTCATTACTGATTTCAAATATCTAGGATTTATGTTGGACAAGCATTTTAATAATGAATAATGATTTTAATTACATACAACTATGTAATCACGAATAACAATATATAAGACCAGTATACAACCTCATTTCAAATACTGTCCCACTCTTCTATACACAACTGATTTAAATAAAATGAGAACTCTATAGAAACTTCAGAATCGCGCAATGAGGATCATTTTGAGATGTGGCAGGAGTACCCCTATATCTTTAATGTTAAATACTCTAGAAATTTACAAAATGTTGCATAACTTTTTACCTTTATATTTTGACAAATTTGTAACTTTTAACAATCAAATCCACCAGTATAATACTCCAATAAACAATTTGTATGTAAATAATTAAACAAAAACGTTCAACACTAAAACATACAGTCTTATTCTGTTTAAATAATAATAATAGGAATTTATTAAACCATTCAAGGTGACACCAAATTATTATGGTTTTTTTTAATTACTGTAGGTACTTATTAACAAATATTAGATTTTTTTATTGTGTTTATATGTATATTAATGTTAACATTATTATCATTGTTGTATATTATTAGGATGTACCCTATTTGACTAATGCATTTTATTTCATTAATTATCCCAAAAATTCTCTACCTGTTTTATCAAACAGCATATCTTTATTGAAATCGTAATGTTTCCAGTTCAGAAGGACATGGAGTAAAGATTTAATTTAGTTACCTGATGTGGCGGAGCACCATTATTTTCGACCACATATACTGTTCGTTCTCCCCTTTTCATGGCCAGGGCATTTAGTTCAACTGTAGGAGTAACTACTCCTGGATTAACAGGTCTGATTCCAGGACGATTTCTGATTGTTTTTGGTGGTGGATGTTTAAATTCCGTTTTCATCAAAGCTTGACTAGCAGCCAAATGTTGTGCCTTTTTAATACTTGGGCCCTCTGCTTCATATTCTTCATTACCGAGTTTCAAGGTAACTGTGAAGATTTTTTTGTGGGCCGGTCCTTGCTCTGATGTGAGCTTATACTGGTGTTGAATCTTGTTGTATCTTGCTTTAAATGTTAAAAAAAAAATCTTCAGACAAAATTCGGGGCTAGGATTTATTTGACAGTTAATGACTTTTTTAGTCCAATATAATAATCAAATTTAATGAAAGAAATTGAAGAAATGAAAGAAATTGAAATAGAAAGTACTATATTTCTACATTGAATGGTATGACTATTAACTTCCGTTTTTGTTTCTAGTTTAGCTAGTTTAGCCCGTGTGAACCCATGAGAATATTATAAACAACAAATCACTTACCTAGTTCATTCACTAAGCACATTGGTGTTTTTTCTTTTATGTTTGCCAAAGTAACGTTGGGCGTAGACAAAGTATTAGTGTTTGAACAGATCGGATGTTCTGTAGTGTGTTGATCTGCTTCTGTGGGCTGACTAGTACTCTCGTAATGATACACCTGTTGCATATTTCCCTTGGGTTGTTGTTGCGGAATTGACGTTGAAGTTAACAAAGGGGGTCCCGGAGACATCGAAACTAGAACACCTTGGAAACAGTTTAATTTAAAAAGTGTTGGGTAATAATTTATTGTCTGGAAAACTCTTGTTGATTGAGAAACACTTGAATATATGTGAGGAAATTGGCCCATAATTGATGAAAATCCATAATGTATACAAATAACATTTAATAGTGAGATTTTCACTGAACAGTTTACAATACCTTGTTTCGCTATGCAATAGCTTCATCAGACGAATTCATACAGACTAAATTCTATCTAGTTTGTGCTTAATATAATATAACAATTTGAATCGTATGTCTTTAATCTAAAGAGACGCCTGAAGAAGCCATTGTGTTGCGTTTTTGTAAAACTGTTTAGTGAAAATCTAACAAGGAAGTGTTTTTTAAATACCTTATGGATTTTCATCAAGAATATATTTAATATGAAATATGAAACTAATATTGACTGGTTTACAAAACAAACGAATGAAATCCTAATGATGTAACAGAAATATACACATCTGAATGTCAAATGTCTATTTTACAAAGGGATGTCTTTCAAAATGATCATCAATTACAACGATAACACTAAAAGAACAGATCTTATCTACCCATAATAAAGATTATATCAATAAGATATTTTTTTTAAGGACAAGACACAAGCACTATAGGAAAATCCTTAAGGCGCTCTTAGAGCGGTGCCTCTGCGAAAGTAGTGATTCACATTGGATTCGAACTGCTGGAGATCAAATCCCTTTGGAAAAACGTTCTCCAGAAGAAAGAGTTCTTAAACAGTGAAGTTCGAGGTGTTCTGAGTTGAACCTCAAAACGATGAGCAGCCACAGTTCGTCGCGTATTTCTGATATGTACCGCTCTTGGTGGAATCAAATGTGCCAAGTCACTTCCCATGAAAGTATCTAAAGAAAAGAGACAACTCTCCAACCTTTCTTCGATGTTCCAGACTGTCAAGGTTGCAAGTGATGTTCGCGTCTCCAATCAGGTGGATGGCTCTTTTCTAGATGGAATCTAGAAGTTTCAGGGTATGTTTGGGGGCGGAGCTCCATACATGAGAACAATAATCCAAAGAAGGTCTGATCTGAGCTTTATAAAACATTACAAGTTGTTGAGGTGTCTACAGTTTTCTGGTTCGGAACAGTGTTAAAAACTTTCAGCGAAATGATTGTGCCAAGACATATTGGTGTCCATTTTAACCCCCAACCAACTGAACAAAGCAGAAAGCGGAATTGTCTGACCTGACATTTATCTTTTTGGAGAAAACCAATGCCTGGGTTTTTGTGGCAATGAATTGAACTTGGTTAATTTCACCCAAGTTCGAAATTACTTCTAAATCCTCATTAAGATATTCAACCTCCTGCTGCCGGTGAAGATGTGCATCCGCCGATGTCCTGGAATCCAAATGTAATAACAAGTGTGCTGTCAGCAAAGCAATATATTGGATTCTTGGTTATTTCCAATAAGTCGTTGATATACAATATAAAGAGTGTTGGAGACAATATGGATCCCTGGGGAACACCAGCGTTGATAGTGAAAGTTTTCGAGAGCCAGTTGCAGGGAACGTTCTTTCATGAAGCAGAAAAGCCATACACAAAAGTGATCTGACAAGCCATAGCATCAGGTTTGGCCAACAAACCCTCATGCCATACATGGTCAAAGGCCTTAGAAATATCAAGCGCAACAGCTCTTGACTCTCTATGTTTCTTGATTGCGTTATTCCAAATATGGGTGACATACGATAGAAGGTCGCCTGTTGATCATTGTTTCCAAAAGCCATATTGATGATCGCTCAAGATGTTGAAGCCTTCCAAATATTTGAGGATATGGTAGTTTACGGCTTTGTCCATGATTTTTTATATCACTGATAGCAAAGAGACTGGTCTATAGTTATTTGGAAGAGTTTTCTTGCCCTTTTTGGTAATAAGCTGAACGTGAGCATTCTTCCAACAAGACAGGTTGTAAGACAGGTTGAAAAGTCTGCAAAATATTGGTGCGAGTTCATTTGCGCACTTTTTAAGTACGATGACGGGCACTTCATCAGGACCAGATGCCTTGTTAATATAGGATAATTAAGCTACAGAAATCAAATTCGCATAAATTATTTGCCATCAAAGCACAAGTTCAAAACGTAAACAAAACTTTTATAAGACTTGAAATTTTTGAATATCAAAGAGTATTTTACTTAATAGTTTCAACTATTGCGTTTTATTAATACATTTCTGAAAAATAATGATAATTAATAAATGAATGGTTCTGTAGAATGTAATAATGCAGAGTGGGTTTCAGAAATCAATAATCTTGACCAGTTAACATTTGAGATACTCATGATATTGTCAAGAATCCAGTTACACATACTGAAATACTTCTAGTTTCTCCTGATTTTAACAACAATAAAAATCAACTTACCAGTAGCTGGCATGCTCATCAGCATTGGTGCTCTCTGGTTAGGAGGAGGTCCCATTTGCTGCATTCCCAATCTGTAAAACAATTTTGATTAACCAGCTGGAAATGAAAAATTTGAAAGGGGGAAGATGAGTTCTCCAAACTTTCAAGAATGGTTTAGTTTCCAATTAAGAAAGAAAAATATGAATGACAAAAAATGTTTCAGATTATCATATTAATAACAGATGAAGTAAATGAAAAAATAACGAATATTTCCCTGAACCAGTTAAACGTGGACTGTTCAGAAAATAACGTGAATGTTAAAATTTCGCGGGCTACGTAAATTCAATTAACGATTTTTTTACTGTTTTATACTTGTGATGCACTGTTTGGAACCTTTGGTGTAGTAATGAATATTACTGGAGTTTTTTCCCAACAACAAATCGTTATTTTCAACACCTCGACATGTGTTTCGATCACCAAGTGATCATCTTCAAAGAGGAAGATTAAACTAGTAACTAACGCGAAGCTAACGCTATTTATGCTATATAGATATCCCCCTGGATGGTTAACCTGTGTGGGATATCTATATAGCATAAATAGCGTTAGCTTCGAGTTAGTTACTAGTTTAATCTTCCACTTTGAAGATGATCACTTGGTGATCGAAACACGGTCGAGGTGTTGAAAATTACTGTTTTATGTTGGTATACTCGGCTCGAACGTATGTTCAGTTTCAGCTGTTCAGTTTGTTGGTGAGAGGCATAAAACTTTTTGCGTGTTCGGTGATTTTCTGATATGGAAGATGTGAATAGACAACCCAGCAAATAAACAACCGATGAAAATGTTGAAAAAGTTAGAAAATTGTTATGGAGAAGCGTCGAATCACTATTAGAAAAATTGCTGAGGATGTCGGCATATCGGTTGGCTCATTATATGTAATTTTATCGGAAATTTTGGGTATGGAGCGTGTGGCAGCAAAGTTCGTTCCAAAAATTGCTGAATTTTGAACAAAAAAAACCTCACGACACCATAATCATGCCTCAGCCACCGTATTCACCAGATATGTTCCTGTTCCCAAGATTGAAGAGACCCATGAAAGAACGGTATTTTGCGACAATTGAGGAGATAAATACCGAATCACTGAGAGAGCTCAAGGACATACCAAAAAGTGCATATCGGAATTGGAAAAAATGCCGGTACAAATGTATTATTTTAGAGGGGGACTACTTTAAAGGGAACAAAATAGACAGCGTATAGACTACTAGATCACACGGCATCTTCCTTCCATAAAAACAATCTGGATTTGGATTAAATTTGACTAAAATACTTCCAAACGACTTTACTCGGCATACATTTTTGATGAAATTTCTAGAGATTGTTAAGAAAATAATCCTTGAACTGATAGATACGGTATCTTCCTACTATATCTATAATCCATCATTTCTTATTAGTCAGTGGGCTATGCTTGAAGACTGGCAGTAAACAAATCTAAAACGTCCAAGCCAGTCTCGAATGTATCTACACAGTAGGTTTTTGTTCCTAATTCAGAGGAATCGGGCAAATTACAGTTGGTTAGTACCTCGTCCACTAGATGGAGTGACAACTTAGGAAGAGGAATGAAATACTCTGAAAGAATTCCGATTTTCAATTATGGAATATCATTGACTTTAGGTCGATGATGGCCACTATCTTGCACTGATGAGTGGCTAATGAGCCCAAAACCGGTCTGCAAGTGTGCCCGTTCCAAAATTGAAGGTAGACTCTTTCAGTTGTATTGCCAATTGCATATGCAGGAAATTTTCTGTGAAGATTCCTGCACTGTCGTCTGTCGGATATAATCCAACGCTCTTCGTGGTATTAGCCAGGGGAGTAGTTGTTTTCTGGTAGGCGTCAGTCCATTCAACCTACTGTGTAGGTATATTCGTGACTGGCTTGAACGTTTAAAGTTCATTTCTTTAGATTTATAGTCCATCAGCCTATATAAACTTCAGGCTCAAGATTTCATTTCCAACCTCCCCAAAAATTTCATTGAAAACATATGACGCACATTATGGTATTATCCATTTCACTGAAAAACAGTTTTTTATAGCAAACAACTGTAGTGGGATCGAACCTTCTACATAACTGCACGTTCAAGAATATTTTTTCAACCTGCTATATCAATCAATCAATCAATATATGCTTTATTGTCGGAAGAAGAAGAAGAACTTTATTTCCAGATAGGCAAGCCTATTATAAACATAATTAATGTACTTTATCTAAATATAATACATAAAAATCAAAATAAATCAGTCTATTATAACCATTTTCATTAAGCGCTTCCCATCTTTTAATTTAAATAAAACAAAGTGTGATTTGAGATATCATAGAAATTTTTTTATCGTTTCAAAGACCTATTGATACCATATGTGAGGAATATAACACTGTTCAAATGTCAGCCAGGGCTTCTCTGGGTGGAGCGCACTCGAATGAGACTGAATTTGACCGATGACATGGGTTATGTTGGCTCTGAGAACCAGTGTGGTTTCTGTCGCATTCGCATACACCTGCGACTTAAGAAAACCCCACGATCTTGGTGGCCAGTTCATGTCACCTCCACGTGAGGTGACCATGTCCTCAAATCACTCGTGCAGAATATCCCAAATGGCATGAGCTGTGTGGCACGTAGGGCCGTCCTGTTGAAACCACATGTTGGTGTCCAGATCATTCAGCTCAGGGCAAAAGAAGTTGGTAATCATCAACTTATAATGCTCGTCGTTGACAGTGGTGGCTTGGCCAACATCTTCTCAAAGAAATATAGACCGACGATGCCGCCCGCCCCAAAGCCACACCAAACAGTGACTGTTTCCTGATACATTGGACGCTCTTGGATCTCATGTGGATTGGTATCGTCCCAAATTCTAAAATTTTGTTTGTTCACGTACATCCAGAAAGGGGCCTCATCGCAAGATTATTTTTCCATGAAAATTTGGGTCAGGTACCAATTGCTCCAGAACCCATTCAGCGAGCACACGTCGTTGTCTATGGTCGTTTATCTTCAGTTTCTGGGTCAGTTGAATTTTGTATTGGTGCAGGTCCAATTCATGACATACAATTCGCGAAGTTGTGGTCTGTGGATACAAAATCGACTGCCTCGGATTATCCTGCACACTCTCACAGACAGCGGCGATGGTTTACTAAACCAGTGGACTCAAATTTATCCACCACACTGCAAATAGTACTCTCAGTAGGACGATTTTCAAAAAAGGGGAAGCGGGAGAAAATCGACGCGTTCAATAGATAGGGTCGTCTAAATATTTCCATTCAAATGATTTCGTCAAATAATTTCGAGTCTGAAGAAGTAAGAAGTTGAAAGGAAGATCTGCAGGGTCAGCCGTTTTTCATATTTTTTACTAATTTCATTTCTCTTTAACTTATACGTACAAATTACACATTAAAAAAAAGTACTGCAACTGAAATGCTCGATCAAATCAAAAATTGATACTAAATGGAAACTTGCAATGAGGGCTTTCTGATATATCTAGAGATTGTTAGGACACATTTCATTCCAATTTATTCATTTCCTCGAATTTCAATTCTTTTATAATTGAAAGACAATGAGAGATTAAGCAGCCTTATTACTAAGAGGTTAGGAATTATTTTTCTAAGAACTTTTAAAAATTTAAGGATAAAGGTGAAAATGTAGCAATGAAGTTCGTCTATCATATACCAAGGATGGTGACGTTGAACTAGTTGAGCCCAGCAGGTTATGTGACTTGTGTGTTTATCAAAATGTCAGAGGTTTAGACACTAAGGTAAATGATTTTCATGCTTATGTAAAATAAGTAATAATGGGTGCGGCATTATTGCATTAACTGAAACATGGCTTCAACATAATATGAAAGATTAAGAATTATTTCCAAAGGATTATTGTGCTTTCATAAAAAACAAATTCAGAGGCAACTCACTGGAGCACTGGTGGTGGTGTTATTGGCTCTTAGGGATACCACTGATTGTAACAACATTGATAATAGTAGTATCAATAAGTTTCAAGATATTGACTTACTTGGAATATTAAGTTGTTATTGCTTCCACCTTGCGCTTCACAAAAAAGACTTATGCATGCAACAAGAGGCACGACCAAAATTATCATGATGGAAGAACTGGAAGGAAGGAAGGATAGAAGGACTACAATTCCAAAGTGAAGGTAAATAACTGCCAGAGGTAAAATACCTGGGAATTATACTAGATACTAGACAGACCTGGAACCAACATTTAGGCAGAATTAAAAGGGAGGCAGCAGTATATTACACATTATATTGGTAATATCATGATTTCTAAGGTTTTGAAACATTTTTTGGTTTTTCCACAAGTTGCAGAGAATATGTTTCAAAACCTACCACATTTTTACATCATCAATACAGATGTGTTTGGACAAGACTCACACAACTGATTCAGTTAGTGACATCCAACAGTATTTGAACTTAATTGTCTGGGATGGATTCAAATGGAGAGATTAACTCTGAAAGTTTTGCCCATAACTACAATAAGCATCTTTAGCAGTTGTTGGCAGCAATGTGTCACAACTCTCTTGTTGGAAGAATTGTTGAGGGCAAGGAGATGGCAACACATTAGTGCTAACTACCCCTGAAATGCCCATCATTGTTGTAGGTGGAATGTTCAAAGTTAATATCTTCACTACCCAGCCCAGATAACCAAAGTTTAATTACATTTCTGGCCATGAAAGTTTTTATCTTTAGTCCAACAGTATATTTCTTTTATTATTATTAACCATCTATACCCAGAAACACAGCATGCAATACAGAGCCTTGTAGTAAGTACAACTCTTCGATCCTTTCAATAATAAGATTTCATTTTATCATAAATGCCGTTTTCGATATAGCTTTTGAATCATTCAAATTAAAATAATCTATAACCAGATTTTCATCTTTTTACTCAAAATATTTTTGACAATCTACCTCGACTGGGAGGAGATCAACAAGACGAAGACCGGTGCTGCAAATTTATAAAAAATAGTTATACAGGCCTGACCCTATCCTGTTTTAGATAACAGCTTTTCATCTGAGTCTATAGTTTTTATTAAAACAAACACCACTACTAAATCTTTTAGATACGTTGGCAAACAATAAAGAAAAATTAGAAACTAATATGCAGCCATGTTAGAATAATGGCAAATGTGAATGTAAAACGAACCATCGAAAATCGAAGTTCGGCAAAATGACCCTTATGTTACCTATGAACAACGGTTTGCCGGTTTTTCACAGAACTAAATTATAGGTTCTCGTTCTGTGACCCCACAGAACATGTGTTTGAGTTTTGTGCGGTTCAACGCAAATTTTTAAATTTAACAGAAAATTTTTAGTAGATTGCTTCAAACAATAGTAACTAGCTAATTCATCGGATCAATCGGTGGATAAATCTATCCACACCATTTGTATAAGGGAGATACCCAACTTTAAGTGTCCTTGCGATGAAACAGTAAAGTTCTTAATAATTCCATCTTTATTATCGAAATAACCATGCAACATCGATATTCAGTGAAAGTGGTAAAAAAAACAAAAAAGTAGATAATATTCAAAATATATTCGATATAGGTATTCAAATTGTTATACTTATTTTTTTGAGACAATCAGCACAAGAAGAATTTTTAGACAGCAAAATTCAACATGGTTTGGCAATGAACAATACTGATATGGTGTTCAACCACTACCACAGGTTAAAATTATTGAACAATTACCCTATAGATCCAATTCAGATGTATGCGAAATAAATTACATAAGAGGAAATATCATTGTCATAAAAATGAATTTTATAATAATATTTTGAGATAAGTTCGTTCTGTTTTTACTAGTGTTTAGAAAGAACACGTTAACAGATCAGGTCTCTCAGTTCATTGATTTGCATTGTGGAAGATACTGTTCGTTATGAAATATGTTTACTTTGAATTCTGTGGAGCCTGTAATCACCTTATTTTAATAAATAGAACACAAGAAAACAGAAACAGCAATGTAACAGCAGGTTGTTTACCAAAATAAGTAAGATTCCAAAAATGGTCCACGCGGAATTACTTTTCATGACAACATGGTTTTTTGCTTTTCAAAAAACGGTGAGATCGTTTCAAAAAAACAATTCTGGAAAACGTTGAAACTTATTTTTTATGAAACTACTTCTTTTGACAACTTCTTATTCCGTTCATTGGAAGATATAATTCATCTAGTACTCCCCTGAAAATATCATGCTCCCGAATCGATGGGATCATTTTCCAAAAAATGTATTTTCTGGTAAAGACATTTTTCGGAAAACTACTCCTTATGACAACCTGGTATATTATTCATCGGAATAATTTCCAAAAAAGACGTCTAGAAACTATAGTTTTTTTGTAAGAAGCTACGTTTTGACACCGTAGCATTCTACCGTTCACTTCCTCTGGAGATACTTTTCTGTATATATGACAATATAAAGCTTCAAAGGTTCTTTTTAGAGAAACTTGTTACCAACTAATTCCTACAGATTATCCTGTAACAATTGTAAATGTAAGTATACAAAAGTATTGAAACACATTTGGATTACTTTTTTAATTCTCTTTCAGGAAATCAGGCATTCTGATTGTCGAGTATTAGAAGGAAAATTCAGAACTCCTCTTTCAATGTATCTGCCTGGCTTAATTCGCAAAGAAGTGCAAGACTGCGTCTTTCAAATGGTTCTACCCATAGAATGGAATAGTACTTACAAACCAGTTTGTATTCATTTCGCAGGAACAGGAGATCACGTAAGGTGAAACATCTAGAGTCTTACTGCTAATTTATCAGAATTAAAACCTTTCAGTATTTTTGGAGGCGTAGGAAAATTATGGCAGAGCCTTTACTGAAAGAAGGTATTGGAGCTATCATCTTAGAAAATCCTTATTATGGTACTAGAAAACCCAAAGATCAAATAAGATCGAGTTTACATTATGTTTCTGATATATTTGTCATGGGTGGCTGCTTAATTTTAGAGGGTTTAGTTCTTTTGCATTGGTGCGAGAAACTTGGATTAGGACCTCTAGGCGTCACCGGAATTTCAATGGGTGGACACGTGAGTTATTTTGTATATAATTGTGCCTGATAATTTCAAATCATTCATATTATTTTAAAAAACTTTTTCAAGCATTTTTAAATGAAATCTAACTACTGACAGATAAATGAATGTTAACATATTAAAGGTAGACTAGTTTTGGGCTGTTCTATGGAATCATAAGTTCAAAGAATTACACAAATTTTCCTTGAGAATATGCAGTGTTTCAATTAATACGATAATAAATTGCAATCTTAAATCCTGATCGGACCCGTTGAAGAATGAAAATTGTTTGTTATTTGGCAAAGTATGAAGCAGGCTTTATAGGAAGTAGTTTGGTACCACGTTTACATGATTCACAGACTTAATAACATTTTGTCCGCGGGATGATTTTTTGGTATTGATGAATGGGTCTTTCAAATTATAAATATTTATATGAGATATGCTGTGAAAGAACTTTCCATCAGTATATAGAGATTTTTCTCAAAGATGTGTAGATTATTGACAGAAGTGTCTTTCAGATATAATCCGAAAAAAAAAATCATCAGAAACAGCAATTTTCAATTATGAACATTGAATTACATGTAAATCACTCATTTTCGCATTCAGTTATACACAAACGTTCACAATGGAATTGAAACAGTTTGTATCCGAAACTTCTGTACATGAGTTACACTTTTTAATTTTTTTCCATTGAAAGTGCCTCACCCTTCATAGTTGGAGAAGTAGAAAGCCAAGATTTCTTTTTCGAATGAAAGTTTTTCCTAAAAATATTTTTCGATGAATGAAATTGCTCTGGTAACACACAAAGTTAAGGTTTCTTTATTAATTGAGTGAATATTCTGCCAATGATATCCAAAAAGGTGATCACGAGAAGTTGAATACTGGTGAAATTTCACTAGTATATCAATACTCTTTCATATAGGGTGTTTTCTAAATACGAAACTTCAGAGGATGATACGTTAGGTTGGTTGTTTAAATGAAAGAAGTTGTTGTGTTTCTGAGATACAGGTCATTGAAGTTCAAAAAAGACATTATTAGGTACATAGGTACTAGTTTTTTCTTCACCAGAATTGTCTAGTTGCCTCAGTTACTGACTAAAGAATTTTATTTTTATATCTGTAGCTATTGGAAAACTATTTTCATAAAGAAAATATCAAATCCTTAACTATTTATGATTTTTTAAATAATCAGGAAAGAAATCCAAACAATAACGTGTCTTACTTTGAAAATTTAAAGCATCCATACCACAATGGGAGAACACCTGTTTTTCAATATTTTTTATGTCAGTAGTTGATTTTATTTGATCCCTGTTGATTTTTTATTTTAATTAACTGGTTTGTCGTAGATGGCTTCTTTGGCAGCATCAAATTGGCCAAGACCTTTAGTGCTAGTTCCTTGCTTATCATGGTCCTCTGCTTCCTCTGTTTTCACTGAGGTAAAACCCATCAAATACACCACTTTTACAGTTTGAAATCATTCACTGATTTTCAGGGAGTGATGAGTGAATCTATAGACTGGGACATGTTACAAGAACAATTTATGTCGGACAGTTCCTACAGTGATGATCTCTCTAAGTTATGCACAATAGTAGATAATCCATTTGCCTGTGATCTTTTTCATCTTCCAGGTATCACGAGCAAGTTTAATGTTGATTTGTTCACTTTATTGTTATTTCTCTTATAAGTAATTTAGAGCCAGAATAACCAATATTGATTCAACTATAAAAATATATATGATAACAATTATAATGATATTTAAATGTATGTTCTTATCACTCTGTTTTTTAGTCGTGTTGATCTGAGTTGGCTACTCTTGTTTATTTGCCACTAATGTCAACTGTTATTTGTAGTCAATGTTTGTAGTATCCACTTTTGAGATTTATTTGCTGTTTGCATTGTATTCATTTTCATTTTTACAGCTAGTATTCTGACACTAATGATAAATAAACAGATTAGCCAACTCAGAGAAAATACATGTGCTCCAAATGAAATCCTTATGATATCATCTGTCCACTTTGCAATTTTAAAATTGAAAAATATATTTGATATCAAGTTCCTTCATAACCCGAAATAAGTAATTAAGATTATGGACAACATTTTGAATATTTTAGAACTTTCCCAAGGAAACCTCTTGACCCAAAAGATAAGATAAAATTTGGCAATGGACAGGTTTCAAAAGTTTCAGTTTGTGTAAATGATTAACAAAAAAATTGTGTAGTTTTATACAGGTAATGGCTATTTTGACCACATCGTCACATGTCATCCTCCAGTCAAATTAACTGTAAATTCAATAGTAGGTACATTTAAAAAATGTGTTTTTGTATTTGAAATATCACACTGATCAATTAGCAATATGTGTTATCACATTAGAAATGGTTTTTGTGAATGTTTTCTTGCAACCAATTTTTGAATATTTCTTTTATGTCTATTTAGTAAGTCTTCTATGGTGAAGTGATTTTTGTTCACATATTCATCGATTGGTTTTCATGTAGAGGGGGACTAATTAGTTCTAAATTCTGAAAATTTTTGTAAATTTTTCTCCCTGCTCTGAATCTTTGAAGTGAGACGTACTAAAATTAACCTAACAACATGCATTTTTTTTTATTGAATGACTGAAATATTTTCCATTGACAATCTTGCAAAAAAATGTATATCACAATCATGTACAAAGAACTAAGAAATGTATTTATTAGATTAACTTGAATATGCTTTACGAGGAAGTTTGATAATAGACAAAAATAAAGTATATAATCGAAGAAAGGTAGAATTGGAACCGCTGCCATACATATTTTTCTAAAGTTGAATCTTGAATTTTGATGGACATGCGTATATATGCAGTGGTACAACTAATAACAAAGACACTATCGACTTATCCGGAATTTGGGAACATCCTGTGTCAGGAATCACATATTGAAAACTAAGACTGTTAACCCTTAGCATCGTAAAGTTTCGACTTCTGGGGGTTGTCTTTCATTAGGGAGCGACTGTTGGTTAATGGAAAAAAAGACAGATTTGTTATTCATTCATATCATAGCATTTGTTAAGTTATTGACTTTTCAATTTTGTCTTTTGACAAAATTAAAAAATTAACAAGTCTACAAGTCACGAGAATTTCATTTCCTAAACTCCCGACAATTTCCTATTCTAAGCATTTAGTCACATCAATTGCACAGCTAACTTTTTAATGTTCACTATCACATGCTTTTTCAAATTCATCGCCCTATTTGACAAAAGGTGTGAATTTGAAATTTTTGTTTTTCAGTTCCTTTTTCAAATGATTTTCGACCCAGTTAGTGTTTTGATTTGATAACATACAAAACATATGGATGGCATTTCTTGTGTTTTGGGTTATAAAAATATTGTGACAACTACTCTTCTGTTTTTCATAAAGAATTTTTTTCTAACCAAAAATAAATGATTCCTTAGTGTTTTGACCTTTCCTTTACAACATTAGGTGATGTTTCTGGAAACCAGGAATTGGTGTATTTACATTTGTCTAGAACCTAATTACAGCAAATAGTACTACAGGAAAATCTCTCATTACCCGAGCTCAAGAATAGGCATCCTTATGATAGTTTTAGTAGAAATATGTATCAGAAGACATGTGTGTTAGTCCATATTCTTTTTTAGATAAACTTTTCAACTCGTCATATCTTCCGTTAAAAGGCAAAGATGTAGCCAACATAACACCATACCAGTTAATCAACTTGAAGAGTTGTGCTACTTGTCCGGATATTGTACTCAGACCTCCCACCGAATCTGTAGAAAAAATGTCGTCCAATAGTTCCTCAGTCACCAATTTTTTCAAGAGTCCAGTCCAAATAAAACTAAATAAGGTTGATGAGATGAAGAAGCGCGATAGTGAGGCAATATGGTTCATGAGAGGTATAATGGATGAATGTACTCACTTGAAGAATTTTTCTGTGCCATTTGATACATCTCTTATAATTTCTATTTGTGCCAGTGCTGATGGATATGTTCCTAGGACTGGACTCTCTCATTTAGAAGATATATGGCCAGGTGCAACAGTTAAATATGTTGACTGTGGTCATGTTGGTGCATACATTTGGCATCGTAACATATTTAGGTGAGTTTAGTATCTTCCGAATTGATATTTTTGATGAATTCATGACTTTATTTTTCAGAGAATCCATAATTGAGGCTTTCGAGAGAGCTAAGAAAAAGTATAAGCCTCTATCTGCTCAAACAGATAATTTATAATTGACTGATACCAAGTATTGTGATTATTCACCTGGTGCCTTTATTAAAGTTGACGTGTTATAATTTTGTAATGTTGACATGTTATAATGTTGAATTTTTTTTAAATGTTGAAATGTACATAAGAGTTTATATTTCTGATTTGTGTACATGACCAAAGGTAAAATTTTTGTGATATTTTTACAATAAATTGAATTTGCTATTTTAGTTTTTTTTTCACGATAAATGGAAATGTTGGTTATTAACAAGATTTTTATTTCCGAGCATTTTACCTTGTGATGATAAATAAATTTCTAAACAATGTTTTCAAGTAACACTTCATTGCGAGATTTTCACTGAACAGGTTACAAAAGTGCAACATGTGTTTCATTATATAGTATTCTCCTCAGGCATGTTCTTACCAATTGAATTCTACAAGATCAGTACTTTATAGAAACAGTCTGAATATTCTACTTACTTAATGGCTAACAATTTCACATAAGTTTACATATAAATTAATTACAAATGTAAACATTAGAAAAGATATTTTACAAACTTATTCAAGTGGATATGAAAATGACCTAAATTTACGTATCAACAGATTTTATGAAGGGGATTTATTCAATTAATGTTCCGAATTCTTGAATCTATTCGTCATATAAAGTAGTTTTTTGAATGTGAAGACCAATTGAACATTTGCAAACCATCTTCTGGCTGACGAGCATAAGTTTCAATCACGACTATGACGTGTTACATTTAGAAAAGAAAAAGAAACTGAGTCTTTTGCAATTCTTGGAAATCAACAGATCAAGAATTCGGAACATTCACTGAATGATTAAATGGAATTCAATGAATCTCAATTATTGAATCTCTTTTCTGATATTGAAATTATTATTATGTTCATTTAATTGAGTTTGTACAATGTCTTTTCTCCATATACCCGACTTTACGCAGTGTTTTAGTTCGCGGCGAGACGATTGTTCATTTTAGGCCGTATTAGATATCAGCCACAAGCAATAAAGAAAATCTTCACTGAACATTTTTATTTGAAAGTATACCTATATTTTCTGTACAAAGGCATTAGTCTGTAGGAAATATATTATCTGATAAAGCCTGAACCGCTCCTGTTCTATCGGATTATCGTTTTCTTTGTTATTGTTTTTAAATTTGTAAACAAAGAGATACTCAACTAGTCCATTTGATGGAAAACCGCCTTTATGTTTACTGATTGCTGATTGGTTTCGTTTTGCCGACCGCTCTTTTCATTGGATGCCAGTCTACGTAACTGATCAGTCGATACCTGTCAAAGAGCGGGATATTTAATTTTTTTTGAGATGATTAGATGAAAGGCAAATAGAAACTCAGCTTTTGCATTAAAATATGTCATAGACTATTCATATCTTAAAGCTTCAGATTGATTCGTTGAAGAATTATATTTCATCAATGATAAGCAACAAAAACAAATATATTTTTTCACACAAAGCTAAAAAGAATTTTGTCTGCGCAGGCCCATATAAATTCAACCACGCGTAGATACTGAACACAGCTAAATCTGAAGGTCTCTAGGCGCTTTTAATGTTGTCTTACTCATATACTGTGCTGTTGCCCGAAAGTACATTCGTGTGTGTACGTATTCAACAGACAAAGACAAAAATCCAACTGGTTGTTGACTGGCTGTCAAGTCACGTACGCCACGGCTGGTGGAAGTACGTAAATTGTAAAATTCCGCGTAAATAGCGAAAAAGTGTAATAGTGAAGGTGAAAACGAAACGAAATATCTATATTAACTCAATTTTTAAAAATTCATAACATGTCATCGACGAAATCTAGTGTTGATGATCTTCTGGGAGGTAAGATTTATTGTTTATATTCCATCTGGCATGACATGTCATAATTCAGTCGTATTTTTATTGAAGACTCGTTATTATTAATGTATTTAAATGATTTCACATTTGTAGAAAATGTCTTGTGGTTATGTTGGACTATGTATTTGTACATATTTCTGAGTATCAAGAAGCAGAATCCGACAAAATCGGTTTGTTTACTTTGTATTCTTCAGTCAAGTGGCAGCAGGGCTTTGTGTTTGAAAATAGAAATGTGCATTGTTGTTTCACTGTAATCAAGTAAAGATCAGTGTTTGGCTTGTATTTAGGATTGTATTTACCTTGTTTGTAAACATTGTATAGGAGCAATTTGGGTATATTGGGAATATCGAAAAACAATGTAAATATGGGCATTTATAGGCAATTTGGAACAAATAGTAGGTACATATGAGGAGTAATGTACATACATCATAATAATGGAAGTTCAAGTCTTTCAAAATACCAATGAAAGTAATGTATTTTTATCCTCAAATAAAAAATTTTGAGAACCTCATTCATTACTGCATGTCCTCTAAATACTCCTCTCTACTGTGATAGCATTTTTATAGTTTTTAGTGAAAAGTTTATTGCCTTGTAAAAGGATTGTTTTTACATGTATATAGGCTGCAAATTGGTACTTCAAATAAAAACAGTCCATGGAGTGATTTTATCTCACTCTCACAAATATTTTACTAATGTGATACTTATTATATCATGTATCATATAAAAAATTCAGTCTTGCAGTACTTACATTTTTCAGTATGAAATAAATTATTAACATTTTTGCCACAGCACCAATCATTATAAGTTAGGGTGGAATCATGTTTCAAGTTGTATCTATTGAGGTTTTTGATTTTCACATGCTGGCCCTCCTTATCATGGACACATTGTATACTCAATAGTCTTTGTCATTTATAAGTTACTAATATAAAAATCTATCACTGTCTGCAAAAAATTGACTCTATGTGACATATCATCATTCATATCATCAATATGAATTTAGTTGTGAATATCATTTGTTGATAGCTTTATTCAATATTGAAATTTATATAAAGGAATACAAAATTTATCATATTATTGTACTGTTATGATCAATATTATTGAATCTTTATTTAACAATTATGCTATGACCTATCATGGTAGATTTCATTTAGAGGAAAAGTAAAATTAAATGAATGTTTTGATGGATTGAATAAATAATACATCAAAGACAACCAATTCAATCTAAGTATTGTAAATGTGATTGGGAAAACAACTGAAAAATATTCAAATAGTTACCTATCAAGGTGCCTAATTTTGCTCTGTTTATCTACTCCCGGTATTTGAACACCAATATTTTTACATGGGGGAAGGAATCTGATATAATTATTTTTCAACATATGTGCTGGGCTAAGGGGTATGTATGATCTGTATTGAACTCTCCTATGGTGCAGGGGCTCTTTGTCCTCAATTTTCATTGTAATAAAGTATTTTGATTACATGATTCTCATTATTAATTGTTAATCAGTTTTTCACACTGTTAATTTTACCAAAACTGTATGCATTTCTGTATCTTATTTATTATTGTTTTTTTAAATAGTTTACCAAAATATGGGGGCAAGCGGTCAAATGACAAGCTCTAACAGGTTGTAAATGATTTGCATCTAAAGGCTACGATCGGACTAGCAAGGGCACTTTCAGTTAATGTTTTTCAGAATCATACTTCAGATGAGTGATTATTCAGAGTACTATATTGCTATTCCTTTGAATAGGTTTATTTATTTCTATTCTTTTGAATAGGTTTATTTACTAACTAAAAGCTCAAAAAATGTAAGTGTCATGTAAAGCATTATGGGCTACATAATTCCTATTCAAAACTTGCACGCCATCTATTAATTCATTTGTAAGGATACTGTGATAGTATTCATTTCCATTATCATTTCTGCACTTCAATAGAATGATTATTGTCCACATAGAAATATTAAACATGACAGCACAAACCCTCATAACGTACCCCATAAAATTTGAAGGAGGTTTTGTTGCAGTGATTGTTTTAAAGAGATGCTTCCTCAGAGGGCATCACCCCTTCCCTGCCCCTCACTTGGTACGTCCTTGACACTTGTCATATGATTAAGTGAAATAAAAGTTGCAATTCAATATTGGTGTAAAAGCTGTTGGTAATATAAAGTTACATTAGTATTTGCGATAAGCTTGGATGATCTGATGTGATTATAGACAGGATATGAAATTTAATACAATTCAGATTCAGTTTCCTGGACCAAATATATATCAGTTTCAGATTTTTATAATTTTGATGAATTTTAATCTCGATTGTAAGATTAATGTTTCTAAAAATATTTCAATTGTTATTTGTGGTTATTATTAATGAATTATAGAGTCCTGGGTGGATGTCAGTGCCAGTTCAACTTGCGGATCTCAAGGAGGTGGCACCCCTGCATCTGTAGCCCATACGCTGTGCGTTGAAGATTACCTGCGTTTATTGAAAGAGGCACAAGAATCAATTCAGTCATCAGCTAGAGTATCTTTAGCTGGATCTCGACGAGATTCTCCAAGAAGTAGTCCCAAGTCGCCTCCAAACAGCCCAGTACAGGGCTCATCTTCCTTAAACCTGGAGTGGCAATCTTATTATGTGAATTCTGATAGTAGAGAGGTGAGTTGTTCTTAAATTGTTTATTATGTGGAAAATACCCTGAACGATGATAGTAAATAATCATATCTCGTCTCAGACACATTTGTAAAACCAAAAATAGCAGAGGGTATCAGAACAAAATATTTTTGAATGATTACACTTTTGCTATCAGTACCAATACTTCAAGATGTGATTTGTTTATTACCTGTTGAAGCTTGTTATTTTTAAGATAAGTTGAAATTAGTACCATTAATAGTTATTTTCCAACATAACACTAAACATTTTTTATCTCGATATACATTTATTAACAACAATATTCACAGATATTTGTCAAAATTGTGAAAATAAAAATATTTCTCTTCTGTAATTATCATCAGCATATTCTTATTAATACAGTTGATAGTTGTTATTTTTGACAGTGGACGTTATTCAATTTAAAACAATTCTAACAACAGTCTTAGTTTAATCTAAACAGGTCTGATAAATAAAAACGAGGAGTGCCTCATGAAATACTAATACTCACCTTGTTAGTATGAGATTTGCTAGAGGGCTATTCCTGTTTGAGATATCAGTAATAGAGAACATTCTCAAACTTCTGAGTTCTTTAACAAGTGATAGCACAACTTGAAACGAACATAGTTCGAAGTTACTGGTATTGCTATTGAACTTTTTCCCTTATTTAGTATTGCTTCTTAACGCTGTTTTGACTTGTACTGAATTGAATCAATCGATGCTTTCAGGACCCAGATTTATAAAACAGATGAGATATGATGATTGCTCTTCAAACTTTCTCTCCCCACCAGGATTACTAACTTTCGCTATAGCACACTCATCTGCTTCTCGATGTTGTGTTCACAGTACGTTGTCTCGTTAGCAGTTCTGTACTGTTATGAACCTATTATACATAAAAACATTCCTACGTATTCAAGCATTGCTGCAAAATCGATGACAGTGCTTCATTATTGTACATTGGAAAATTTAGAGCATAATTACGTGACTTTCAAATGGTGACCAAATGTGTGTAGTCAAGAAAATAAATTTTCCATGATAATAATTACCAGTCTTCACAATATACACTTAATTACCATTTCAGTACAACAGTAGTTTCCACAGTTGGACTGGTACTCTACACTAATTTATACAAATTACCGATCTTAATTAGTAGAGATTACCAATTGGTGAACAGGTAATTTTAAGACAAGGTACCCAGCAGTTACAAAGCAGATTGAATTATTGTCACTAATGTTTCCACAGGTTTATTTGTTGTCCTTTATTTTCTCTGAGTAGTATGTCGTAGTTTCTGTCGAAGTCTTGATTGATTTTCAATATATGACATGCATAGGTTGAATGGGTTTTCTTCAATTCAAAAAATTTTTGGCCTTCGGTGATTCTCATTTTGAAATTTCTAGGTGTTCTTCCAACATAAACTTTTGGGCACAAGTCACATGTTAGCTTGTAGACACCCGATTTGTTGTCTGTCGTTGTTGGATTTGTTGTTTTTATATGTCTACCTGTTTGCAGACAAACTTACTGGAAACATCATCAATTTCAAATCATTTATCATTTCTTGCCAGTGTTGATATATATAACATTCTGACTCACAGATAATCACAGATAAACTTGTCAAAAGCAGAATTGTATCCTTTTTTGTAATGACAGTAATATACTTCTTGTTAGTGACGATTTCAAGTGAATAAAACTACTAGTGATGATTTGTTCAGTCTATTAAAAGCAGTATATTCTGAATGGAGTGTTAGAGAATCAGCTGCTGCAACTGATTCTCGAAATAAGGAAAAAACTACAAATATAGTAAGGGGGCATATCTGAAGACTGACTGTAAATCAAATTATTTGAAAGAATAATTCGTTCAGGCGTACATCTTCACCTACACTGTATGTTAATGGACCGACACCATTACTCTGACTAAGATACTCTGAAGGAATTCAATTTTCAATTATAGTAAATCATCGACTTCGTATTGATGTAGGACACTACCTTGCACTGACGAGAGGCCAAATAGCCCGAAACCAGTTTGCAAAGGTGTCCGTTCCAATAATGGAAAATCGATTCCGGCAGTTATATCGCCAACACCATATGCGGGAATGACTTCTGTAAAGAGTCCAGCGCTGACACCTGTCGGATATAATGCAACGCCCTTCGTGGTATCAGCCAGGGGAGTAGTTGTTTTCTGATAGGTGTCAGCTTATTAAACTACCGTGTAGGTGATTTGAGACTGGCCTGATTGTATTGTTCTTTCAGATAATTAGAATGAAATCTTATATAAAGTGCTTATTACTCCTGAAATGTGAATGGGAGATTAATTTAACATGGTGGAGCATTCCATTCGAATATTACACGACTATCATTACTCAGCTTCACATTTGAACAGAGTTCAACTTAACAATGTTGCCCTTTCCTTGATTATTTAAACGAAAAAAAGAATAGTATATGTCCAAAGACTTAACTATATTTTGCAATTACACTACAGAATCTATTAACGAATTACACAAAGTCATTTTATTTTTTAACTTGAGTAGTAAATTAGATATTGATGTTTGTTCATTTACCCAGTATTGGATAATAATAAGCAAATGTTTAATGGTATTTTTATGGTTGATAATTTTAAACAAATTTTATACTTTGTTTCTTGGCACATGTTTCCGTGTTAGGAATCACACGTTAAAAGGTAAGACCTCGTTAATCCTTAGTTCGCTCAAGTTTCGACTTCTGAGGGTTGTTGTACGTAGGGGTGCGACAGCTGGTTAACGGAAAAACAGATTTTAAAACAGATTCAGACAGACATGTGAGTATACTTTAGATTTCCTGGAGTCTTTGAAGTCCACTAGATACTCGTTAGGACAACAAGAGTATTGTTCCGAATTCTTGGGGTTCTTGTTGAATACTCTTCGTGAGCAAAACAATAGCAAAATCAATACTTCTGACCGCTCTGGATTGAATGATTTCGTACAGTCCATCTCGTCTTGTGTTTGTAAATCTTTTGCTGGAATAATCCTTACTTGTTTACTTTGTAGTAAATGTTCAAGATTTTAGATTTTATAATAGTTTGTCTCCATGGGAATGCTTTATACAAACCTGTTCAGTGAAAAAAGTGGGTCGTATGAAAATTATAATTTCTTGTTATCAACAGAAAAAGTGTTTGTATTTGATGAGGTGTTCTAAAGGAATTCTGCGATGAGCTTGGTTAACACTTGTGAAAATTCGATGATCAACGGGTGTTCTATGAATCAGATATTTGTCGAGATGCCTCACAAATTCTTTGTGAGTCACCAACTTCGAAAGAAATGAAAAAATAATCGACAAGTTACACTTATTATTTGATATTTAATAGAGGCGCACTCTGAAATCGAACGTCAATAAATTAGGCGACATTATTGTGATCATTTTGGCTAGATGTGTGGGTTTATCTTCATACATACATACGTCATAGATAATTTCATCATGTCTACACGTATGGCTGTGTCAGCTGCTAATACGCGGTTAAGAAATTGACACAATTTTTGAAAGTCAATGCATTACAACCTTTAAGGTTGCATTTGAAGGTCGCGATGCTAGTTTTCTATGTCTCAAGTTATCAGCGGCCGATTTTTTTCTGTTTTTATATATTTAATCAAATTGGCTGATATTTTAAAATACATGGTGAATGTATCTAAAACATTATTGCCAGGTTGCCACAAAATGATTTACAAAACCATAACACGTGTTCTACTACACCATAACTTCGTCAAACATTGTTAATACTGAACTCTAACAATTGAAATTAGTTTATTAATAAATACACATGTTTGATTCATTAGTCCGTTGATATGAATTCATTTTTCTTCATTTCATATGTCTAAACTTGACCCCATTTCTTGTAATGAGTGATTCCAATCAGCATTTTCAAAGAGATAAATTTAACGTATTTGAAACGTCAGTGATAAAAACAGATGTGGAATTATACATTCGATAAATCACTTATTTCCTAACATGTATATCTGCTTGAATAGAAGCTGTGAAGAACAGAAATAGCTTCTAAAGCACAATTGTATTTATTAGGCATCGAAACCTCGCATTTTTTTAGGGTGATAGCAGTATCAAATGGTTCTCATGAAAAGCTATCTTTCAGGATTCATGATGCATGTTTATGACATCTACTTGAATATTAAACACTAGTTTCTATAGAATTACCAATACAACATATCTAGTTAGGTTTTATGTGCATCTAGATACTGCCTGCTCCACTGTAGCACTTTGTAGGTGTAGGTCATATTTATTTTACCTTAACGTTCAGCTTTTTCCTAATATCTCTTTAGTTTTTATTGGCGCAGTCAGTAGGATTCGGACCATAGTGAATTCATTATAAATACTTCTTCAGTTATCCTGTATCACGATAATTTTATTCCGAAAATATTAATTTTTCAAGAAAGGGTTATTATTGGGATTTAAGTGTGAAAACTTTTTATTCAGTCAAGACTTTTCTGTATTTTACAATCTAAACATCATCATTCAACAATGATTTGTAAACCTCATATATGGAAAATTTATGTGCGGTTTTTCAATGCAGTTTTTCATGCATGGCGCAAAAATATAATTTGAACCATCGTCAATAAATTTAAGTAAAATTTCAAGACGAAATTCTTTCTTTTTTAGGCCCAAGGAATGTGAATGAATGACATATTTTTTTTAGTGCGTAAATGAACTGACTATGACTCATTTGGAGTACTACTGCAGATTCACAATAAAATGTTTTTTTCATGGAGTACCATCCAATTCCATCACATATATTACTTTTTTTATTAACATGCTTTTATTAGCTTCATCTGTATGTATGTATGTTTGTTTGTTTGTAACTCCAGAATTATCGACATTATTGCTGTACGTAACCTCCTTGATATAATTCGAACTCGCTTTACATGTATTTCTTCTTCTGAAAAAGTATATTTTTATTATTATCACGCGCTTTTATTAGCTTCATCTGTATGTATGTATGCATGTATATATGTATGTATGTTTGTTTGTAA